ATGCTCATTTCTTTGTAGTATTCTCAACCCTAGAGGGCTAGACAATTTGGAGTCCTCCAAATGTTTTGGAATACAGCCCCCGTATTGCTTGAGTATTGGCTGTGTTGGCTTGGGCAAGTTGTAGGCCCCAAATAAATATTGGTGATCCTGGTGCACATGGAATCAGAAAACATTTGTAATAAATGGAACAGGTCCATATATAGATTATATTGTGAGTGTAGTTGACATCTGTGAGTTTTGTTATATGTTCTCAAACTGAAACTTATAGCTACGCTAATGGAGTTTTCAGAGTATGTAAAGAGTGGGGTTTTACTGGTTCTACCCCACACCCTTGTGAGTTTCCATAGCTACCTGAGGATCAGGACCTTGATCTCCTGCCTCCTGGTCCATTATTCCATCTGCTACACTGCACTGTTTTTCTGATATAGCACTACTGTCTGTGAAATACTTCATTTTTTTAAAACTTAGTGGTTCTTGCTTGCTGTTTTAAAAATGCTGCTTCATATTAAAATCACATGTGGGTGATACACAATACCTATACACATTATCTTGAACCTCCCTTTTGAACCTTCCATTAGTGCAGTGGGGTGGAAACTGGGTCTGTACGACCTCAGCTACACATTGATGGCTTCTGAACGGCCTCTCATGCTTAGGAAATGTGCATGGTGCCATTGCTGGTGGGGTTCAGCTGGTTATTTCCGAGGGCATTTGGGACTGCAGAACACGAGCTGCCTGTGCTGGATTTTATTGTTAGTGTGGCATTAATGATGGGATCGTTGAACAGGTTGCTACAAGTCCTTGCCCAACTGGATTTCTGCTTTGTGCTCAACCCATTTGGGATTTGTTTCGGTAAGATGTGAGTGGTTCCCATTTTCTCCTCCCTTTTTACTCACCTGCTGTATCCATTTAATACTTTGCTACTTCCTTTAATTAAAGATCTGTAGGATCTGCATAGTACCAGCCTGGGCATTTGAATGCTTTGGGAAAGGAGGCAACACCCTCCTTACTCATTTCCTAGCAGAGCTCTTGCAGACTCACCCTTGTTTGGATTGACCTGTTTCTCTCCCGCCAAGCGACGAATAATTTGCTTCTCAGTTAATTGGGCATAGAATAGTCTTTTTGTCTGAAGCGGCTTTAAGCCTCTGGAGAGGTTGTGGAGGGTTAATCTTGCCTGGTAGTGAAAGTGACGTGGGCCTTGACGAAAGCATCCGGTTGAGCAATCTGGAACCAGATCATATGCTATTGTCAAGAAGCCAGGGCTTCATTGGATGCCTGGTTAGGGCTTGAGCGGTCTCCTTTTTGAGCAAAAGGGCAGGGCTCCGACAGCCAATCGGAGCAGACTGCGAAGAGCTCATAGCCATGTGTCACAAGACTTGCCGGCATTTCCTCTCCACCCACTGAAGGGAGAACTGTCGGGAACCGGGTGAATTCCATGAGTGGCTGAAAAAATGCTCTGCCTGTGCCTTTACGTCCCAACCTTTGGGGAGACCCAGGCCGCTTTTGAGTATTTTGAATCCAGGGGGCTTCCTGCCGAACTCAAGCCCATCTTCAGACTGAGCCTTTTAATTCCTTCCCAGGAATTTTCCACCTACCGTCAATGGAAGCAGGTAGGAATGAGACAGGATGGGGCTGCCAAATGAGTTGGGAAACCCATCTGGCCAAATCATTCTTGTCTGTTTGGTATTGTGGTTTTTAATACTGCCTTTTCTCTCGGGAACTTAAAACTGAATCTATCAACCACTCCTTATCTGGTGTCCTTCAGCTGTGTAGGGCTCATGGCGATGGAGTTTTTGTCCACATCTAGAGGGGAGATTCTCCCATTTAGTCCTTGTTTTCCTCTCAGAATAATTGGCATGAGGCAGCTTGTACATAGAAGCGACACAGTGGGTGTTTTTGCTTGGTCCAGTGTGCTTCCTCTATTCAGTTTCAACATTTTCCATGGAGTGTAAAATGTGTTGTTTCTCATTGGCTTTCTTATTTCCGGTTGTTGGTCCCTGCGTCTTGTCAGAAGTTGGGAAAACCCTCTGTTCCCTCTTGGTAGTTTCATGTATTCCAGGATGAGTAATAGAAGCAGACTTTCCCAGTATTGTTTCAGAACACCCCCGGGGGCGGCACCTTCAGCCCATTTCTCATCAAATCAAGAAAATGTATTTGCCTCTTGTTGCTGGAGCAATACTGAATCTCAGTTAAAAAGACCTTTGGAAGATACGCTCTAGGGAAATTCAGGATTACCAAGATGGGAATAGCTTATCTGTGCCAAGGGCAGCACTGTTTTTGGAAAGGCAGAGAGAGGCGCAATATCTGAAGAGAAAGAAGATGCTTTTTTATTTCTGAAAGTCTCTCTCTCTCTTCCCTAAGCAAGTTGGGGCTGAATGGAGAAGCAGGGAATTAGCTTTAGAGTTTGTTTAAAGGCTGGGAAACTCATACTTGTTGAAACCATCCTGTTTGAACATGAGCCCAGTACAATCCAGTTGCTGAACACATCAGCTAAGCAAGAGCTTGGCAGATCTCTGATTTGAGTTTCATGTTGTGGGACTCTATGAACGTTGTCAAGCTCCTAGAGAGCTGCTTAGAATTCAGCTGGTTGTGTGTTTTGCTGGTTTTGCTCACAATATAAACCGGGTATCAACTGGCAGGTATGGTAGCTTTTCGTAAGGAAGACATTCTAGTTTAGTGTTCCCTGCACATAGACTGACAGCTCTCGAGGTTGTCAGAGTTGGAGGTCTGGGACTGAACCTGGCATCCTCTGCCTGCAAAGGAAGTGCTCTACCTCTTGCCTTCTCCCCATAGACAGGCACCATAGCTAGCGATGACAACCTGCAATAGGTGGTCACCACCAAGAAGATGCTCTCTCGCAAGTGCGGGTGTGTGGGCATTTGAGTCTCTGGGTTGCTGCTGTTTTTTATGTTGGAAGCAGCCTGTTTTATTATGATTCTTTCTTGTATCTGTCATTCCAGTGCCCAGGAGCTCAAGACTTCTGATAAAGCAACAAATTAATTGCATTTATAAGCCAGGTTTTCATAAGGAATATTGGCTTGTTCAACATGCTTCCCCCTTCAGTACTGTGGGTTGTTTTTTTTAATGCTCTAGAGTTTGACAACTAGACCTAATTCAACACTAAACTCAAGCATACTTGAGCACCCACCAGTGGCATGCAGGTGTAGGCAGCCCACAATCTCTGACCATTGGCCATGTGGGCTAGGAGTGATGGGAGTGGGAGTCCAAAATAGGGAGGGCACTGGCTTTCCCAACCCTGCCCCTTGATCTAGGGAGTAAACAGAGGCAGCCTAAAATTTTGAATAGAATTGTCGAAACACGTCATTTGATTAAATAACAGCAAGGTCTGCATTCCAGAATTCCAACTCTCTTACTGCTGTTGATGCAGAAAAATGAATATGTGGAAATATCTGTAGGAAGTGTAAAAAAGAACTTCAGTAGCAACCATGATATGAACCCAGTGTTGTAATTTTAGGAACAGTTTGCATCTCGCCCAGGATAGCTAACTTGGAGAGATGTGAATAGGGATAATGTAAATAGGCCCTTTTGCCCCAAATCACCTCCAGGGTGATTTTTTGAGGCGAATTATACATTTCTGGCTCTTCTGTTTCACAAGAATTGTAAGATCTTAAGGTCTCTCCAAACATTTGTTGTTGGGAAACCCTGAATCAGCTGGTTTGCAGCAAGCCAGCCAGCCAGCTGACATGCCAGAGGCCTCTTTCTATCTTTAGTTCACAAGTGGTGATACTTTTTCTCTCCCCATTTTATAACTGTCATATGACTGTGTGCAGATTAGAGCCACCTTGGAAGCATGAAAGGTCATGGCCGGTGATTACTGCCGCCCTTTTGAAAGTCAGGATGAGAAATGTATTAAATTATATGCGAATACCCAAATATAGCTGAGAAAAAGTTCAGTGAACAATGTTTGGCACAGATCTCAGAGGGACAATTTCAGATGCAAAGATAAATATTATTAATGCTTTGCACACTGATTTCTCTAACCTAGAATCTTTTTCTACATGGTCCTGCAATAAAAGATTTTTTGCAGATTATTAACTTCACAGATAAGCTGCCAGACATACTAGGAAACAGTTGGTCTTTGCTGGTAGTGGTGGTTTTGACACTGAATGTCACAGGAACAAAATTTTTAATGGATATGCAAAGCAGGCATTGACCAAGTCAGGAGGTGCCTGGATTGCTCACTTACCTGTGTAAGCAAAGGCTTTGGGGGAGGTTTCCTGCTCAGAGGAATGTTAAGGGTAAGGTTCAGCCTGCCCTTGCCCTCTTTTAATCTGTTTGGTAAAGATACACTCTGCTCCTAAAAATCTAGTTTGCCCCAGGATCTTGCACAAAGGCGCAAGGACAGGGTGATCAAACCTGTTCCTTCTCGTATTAGAGCCACCTTTATCTCTTAAGTATTGCCTGTTAGTGCTAGCGTTCAGCTTATCTGCAGGCTTGTCTGGCGGCTCTTGGTTTCATGCAGCAAATGGTAGCTCCCAGTCTGTCCCTTTTATTTAAAAACAAAGATGAATGCTTTTTGGCTGAACTCGAAAAGGTGGGTGTGGGAAAGCTGGGCAGCTTTAATGTTATATAGGTATCAAAAAGGAGCTCTCTTCTCCAGCCAGCCCATCCCATCCCTAGCAACTTTATCTTTATCATGTGGCGAGTAGAGTTCCCACTAAATAGCAAGTGTCCTTGTACAGTTTAACTCTTTTACAACTCCTGGAGTTCAGTGAACGAACCTGTTTAGCAGCATGTGTCCCATGTGTTATTTTTTGCTCAAACACAACTGTACATAGGTGGATGTGAGACCAATGTAAGGCTATCAGTCCAGATAGGCGGGGTATAAATCACATACAGTTTAACTCTTTAACAACTCCTGGAATTCAGTGAACGAACCTGTTTAGCTGCATGTGTTCCATGTGTTATATTTTGCTCAAACACAACTGTACACAGGTGGATGTGAGACCAATGTAAGGTTATTTTTACCTTCTTTTCTACAGAAAATTGTAAAAGCCGGAGATAAGGACCTGGATGGTCAGCTGGACTTTGAGGAGTTTGTTCACTATCTGCAAGATCATGAAAAGAAGCTGAGGCTGGTTTTTAAGAGCTTAGACAAAAAGAATGATGGTGAGTGTGTGCAGGGTTTTTTAAAGGGAGGGGTGAGGCTGAATTTCAGTGTGGGTCCCCCTTGCAGCTGATCTGTCTTGTTTATCAGACACGGAGCTCATTTGTCTTGCCCTCCCTTGCAGGCTGCATCGATGCCCAGGAGATCATGCAGTCCCTTCGAGATCTGGGAGTCAAGATTTCTGAACAGCAGGCGGAGAAAATTCTCAAGAGGTGAGTGTTGCAGGTGGCTACAGTGTTCACATGCTGGAAAACATGGTGCAAGGTGTTGCACCAAGGGCTAAGGGCACCTCCATCTTCCTTTTTTCTTTCTTTCCTTCCCCCTCTTCTGTAAAACTATTTCTGTGAAACAACCGCACCACTTTTTCCTCTATTGTAAACTGCACTAGAGCACCAGTCACAGGTGAGAAGCCACCCTAGTCCTTTCTTGGAATTGCAGGGACACTTTGAAGCTAGGACACTGTTGGGCCACAATGCCTCAGGGCTTGTGATGTGAAAAAGCAAACAGTGTGTTGCCTCAGAAGGCGGCAGCCTTGTCTCTATGGAGTGCTTCCTCTGTTTTTTGCAAGGAGGGGCTTGTGGCGGTAGCTTTCCACCCAGCAGAACAGACTGAGAGGATGTTTACCTGCCAGCTGCTTGACTGCAGGACAGGCGGGGAGCACTCTTGCTGGCTGCATGGTGAGAAAGAGGTCCTACTCACAACATCACCAGCCTTCTGTTACCACTGTCCTGTGATTCCACACAGTGCTCTTACTATAGAGACTAGATCTTGTTCAGTTAATGGGGGTCCCAAGATGTGTGCTCCAGTGTTCTCTGCTTGTCCTGTTCCTGTGCAGCTTAACACACTAAAATGCTTTCTTCTGTGTGCATGTGGCACTGATATTTAACACTCACTTATTTGTCCCTCTCTCCCTCTTTGCCTTATCCCCTCTGCCTGCCTGTCTGTCTGTTTGTCAGAATAAGGACGGGGCACTTCTGGGGTCCTGTCACCTAGTAAGTATCACAGTGCATGTCCTTGTCACCCATATACGTCACCCCCATCCCTGTGGAGTTGGTAGTGTGTGGCCTATTTCTAATGAGTCCGGTGGGGGGAGTAAAATGGCAGGTTTTGATTTTCTATGTAATACTTGTCCTGCATTTAGCTAATACTCCCAAAGTGTTGTTATGATTATTATTATTATTACCAAGTGGATCTCCATAAATGGAGCACTCTGTCTGTGCTCTGACTCCTGTCCTCTAACTCCTGTCCTCTGAAGATGCCGGCCACAGAGACTGGCGAAACGTTAGGGAGAACAACTTTCAGAACATGGCCAAAGAGCCCGAAAAATCCACAACAACCATCAGATCCCAGCCATGAAAGCCTTCGAGAATGCATTGGATTTCCATAAAATTATTAACATCTCAGTACAAATAAAGAAAACTGCATAAAGCAGAACACAAAACACTTAAAAAAACCAATCAGACAGCAGAAAAACCATCCTTAGTATCAGCCTGCCTCTCCAAAGCACGATAAAACCAAAGGAGAGAGGAGAGTTAGTGCCCAGGAGACACCATTTGTTTTTCCTCACTTTTTCTTCATTCAGTCCCACACTCAGTCTGTTTTTGCTCCGCAGCTGTTTCAGAGAGAAGTCTCTGTAAATGAAACAGTTCAGGTCATAACTGCCCTTCATTTGGTCTGTGTTTTCTCTGGATGCCAAAAGTTTAAAGTTGGTAAGCTAGTCCTCATTTTATCTTCCCAACTCTTCTTGCAGCATGGATAAAAATGGGACAATGACCATCGACTGGAATGAGTGGCGTGACTATCACCTGTTGCACCCCGTGGAGAACATTCCAGAGATTATCCTGTATTGGAAGCACTCAACGGTAAGAAATTAAGGTCCCTCGTGCATGACGAGTGTGAAACACTTGGCTGCTTCTGTAGTGGCGAGCCCTTGACGCCCATGTTCTTTGTTGTCCCCAGCCACTTGCCTTCTTGCTACAATTGCTTCCTGCTTCTCTTGTTCCTTCTTCAGGTGATTGCCCACTTGTGTCTTAAAATCTCTAGCGCAGGTGTAAGAAAATGTTCTCAGGGAAGTCTGGTTTTCGGTGCACATGAGCAGCCAGCTCTTGCCAGTTCATAACCTGTCAGCTCTGGAGGTAACCTGCCAGTGTCTGGAACTGATAGGAATCCTCTGGGTAAATCTGGCATTCTGTCGTGTATCATAAGATCTAACCAGCTTGTGAATGCCAGGAGAACTCTAGACCTTTTCCTCTCCCCTGTTCCCCTTGACTAGTCATTTTGAACATGAGCAGCCTGTAGGGCTGGCAAATAACCAACTTTCTAAACTCGAGCTATGATGACATACAAGGCCTCTGTGAATGTTAATTCTAATTCCCTCTAGCAATTGCTATTAGCGGTGGCTTTTTACAGGCAAGACGAAACTGATGCTGTCCTATGAATGTGATTTACGTTTTCAAAACAGGTAGCCTAAGTTAACTGCTGCCTTGATTTTTTTGCCTAAGGGATTCAACTTTGACCATCTAGGCACATTCACACAACCTCTAAAGAAGCGCCAGCAATCTACCAGTACTAAAGAAGATGGTTTTACTTATGCCTTGCAGATTTTTGACGTGGGAGAGAATCTGACTGTACCTGATGAATTCACAGTGGAAGAGAGGCAGACTGGAATGTGGTGGAGACACCTGGTTGCGGGCGGAGGTGCAGGAGCAGTTTCGAGAACCTGCACGGCTCCCTTGGATCGCCTGAAAGTGCTCATGCAGGTAGATTTGAAAGTTCAGGTGGGGAGGGTCTCTCTTCCTCATTTTAGTCTCATAAGCCCTGAGGGGATTGGGGAGGCATCAGGGGACATCTGCTTCCTAGCTATTGTTCAGAAGACTCTTTGGTAGTTTGTTTGGGCCTTGCCACTCCCATGTATGAAGTTCAGTAGTTCTGCTTTCCTTCTCCTGGGTATATATATTTGGCATTTTTTAACTAAGCACCCCCACAGGTCCTTTGAGAGTCTTTTGTGATCCCCCGGCCCTTGGGACTGCGCTGACTTGGCAGAACAAACATTCCTTTGGAACTGGAAGCTCTTGCTGGTCACAAGGCAGCTGGTGGCTTGCTGGCAGCTCTTCCTGTTCTGAACTCAAAGGGCAAAGACACCTGATCACTGTTGAGAAATGAGGAACTTGGACTTTGCACAGCCCTGGTTAGGACTGGCCATCTCCAGCGTTCACCGCTAATCTTGTGTGTGAACCAGGGTCCATTTCCCTTTGCCTCTCCTTCCTCCAGGAATGACTCCGTGTCATAACAGGGAGGGACTGATACTGATTTTTCATGAGAGCACGCCCTTTTCCTGCTAAATTGTGAAGCAGATTAAACTGTTAAGACTTACCTGTGAATGAGGAATGCTGAGAACGAGGAGCGATACTTGCGCCAGGATCCAGTCTGAAAGGCTTTCCTTCTTTCCAGGTCCATGCGTCTCGCAGTAACAATATGTGCATTGTGGGAGGCTTTACCCAGATGATCAGGGAGGGTGGCACAAGGTCGCTTTGGCGAGGCAACGGCATCAATGTCTTGAAGATTGCTCCCGAGTCAGCCATAAAGTTCATGGCCTATGAGCAGGTAAAGCATTGGAGGGGGACTTGCGGCAATGCTTGAGTGGGAGAGAGGCTGCAGGGTAAGGGGTGTCCTCCCCATTGAGGCTGATCAGAAAGAGAGGGGCATGGAGGATCTGAGCTGACATGTCTAATGACTTGATGCCTCCTTTTCAACAGATCAAGCGGTTCATTGGCACCGACCAGGAAGTTCTGAGGATTCATGAGAGGCTGGTTGCGGGTTCACTGGCAGGAGCTATTGCGCAGAGCAGCATTTACCCCATGGAGGTAAGTTTCTGATTTTGCCAGAGTTCTTTTCCCTAGTTTTCCAATGGCAGCTGTTTGAGAAAAAGACTTCTCTTTGCCTATCAGCCATGGACACCCTTGACCCTCCCCTTCTCCTGGTGACCCCTTAGGTTCTAAAGACACGGATGGCCCTGCGCAAAACAGGACAGTACCTGGGGATGCTGGACTGCGCCAAGAAAATCTTTGCCAAAGAAGGGATGGGGGCTTTCTACAAAGGCTACATTCCCAATATTCTGGGGATCATTCCCTACGCCGGTATCGACCTGGCTGTCTACGAGGTAAGAGGCTCGGCTGCTGTCTCTTGTGATGAAGGCAGTTGTACCAAGAAAAGCCCCAGGGTTGTCCCCCTGTATTCTGAGATCCTTCTGTGAGACTTTGGTCATTCCCCTCTCTCCCGGCATGGATAGAAAGAGCTCTCGCAGCTTTGCACTTGACATTTTCCGTACAATGTTTGACTTTCTTGTTTGTGGATTTTTCCTAGACATTGAAAAACAGCTGGCTGCAACATTATGCTGTGAACAGTGCTGACCCTGGGGTGTTTGTCCTGTTGGCCTGCGGCACCATGTCCAGCACCTGTGGGCAGTTGGCAAGTTACCCTCTTGCCCTGGTACGGACGCGCATGCAAGCTCAAGGTAAGAGCCTTCGGTTGAACCACAAAACGGCTGCTCACTTCATCTGTAATTCCCGAGGTGGTTATTTCTTACGTCCGTCTTGGGCGCATGATGCAACAAATTGAGCTTAGAATTTATAAAAAGCCCTCTGGGTCTGGCTTCCTGCTTCCCAATGTTTGTGTGTGAGAAATGTTCCTTTCCACATCAAGTCTTAACTAAAATGTTACTAGTATTGACAAGCTGGGAGTTGTAGTCTAGCCATTGCTGAGATGTCCATAGTCTCACGGTCTTTAACTTTCTGCAACAATCTGCTGTACACTGGACCAGGGTCTTAAGATCTTTCCTATGGCTTCTCTTCTAGCTTCAATCGAGGGCGCACCACAAGTGACGATGACTGGTCTCTTCAAACATATCCTGAAAACAGAGGGAGCCTTTGGCCTCTACAGGGGGCTGGCCCCCAACTTCATGAAGGTTATTCCAGCCGTGAGCATCAGCTACGTGGTCTACGAAAACCTGAAGATGACTCTGGGGGTGCAGTCTCGGTGACCACACAGTGTCGTGGACGTTGTCAAACTCTTAACAGAATCTTGGGGCGCTGCTGTCCCAAGGGGTTTGTCCATTTCATTCTGTGAATGTGTTGATCAACACTAAAAGCTGCTCGAGCCAAACTGTGAAAATCCCAGGCAATGCGGATTGTGGGATGGCGCGTGGGAGGCCTTCGGTCTTTTCGATGTCTTCTGTTATCGCGAGAGCTCCATGTTTAAAAAGTCACCGGGCGACGCTCTGCACAAGGGACCAAATCCGGGAATCCAAGGGAAACATCCTGAGCTATCGGTGCTGGCCTGGCTTGTAGCCCAGCCAGAGAGAGGACAGACCTACCCAAGTCTCTTGTGGCGATCCGGGGCTGGAGAACATATCATCTGCCACCTTGGCTTGAAAAAGAGCTGCTTTCTGTTGAGTGTTTCACCTCCTCCCTTGTCTTTTGCAGTCGACATGAGACTGGCCTTGGGCAGGAGGGGCTGTTGGGCCAAAACGACAATATGTTGCTGTTTACATTCATTCTTTTGGGTAGAAGCAGTTGAGGTTATACTTCAAGATTCTGACACTGCAGTGTAACTGAAAGCCAGGGCTGGGCAGCAACTGCTGCAGCTCCGTGTTCCTTTAGAGGCTGGCCCAGGCAGAGCTGAAAATATTTTGTTTTTATTTTTGTAGTCCTGAGGCTTACGTCCTCCTTAACACGGCTAACAATATGCACTTATCAAGAGAAGCAGCACCAGCCTGCATGCCTTAGGTTTGCGTGCTGGAAAGGCTTGTCTCTTCAGCAGTGGGATGTTGAGAGGGGTCTTCTGGCAGCTAGCACCTTTTGATGGGCTTCGCACTGCAAAACCTGGTGAGCCCCACTGCTCCTGGGCCCGTAGTTTGCCTTCAGGAGGGTATGGGGCATCTGACAGAAGCCATCTTTCCTCCCCATGTAGCTCCCCCATGCCTTAGGTTTGCGTGCTGGAAAGGCTTGTCTCTTCAGCAGTGGGATGTTGAGAGGGGTCTTCTGGCAGCTAGCACCTTTTGATGGGCTTCGCACTGCAAAACCTGGTGAGCCCCACTGCTCCTGGGCCCGTAGTTTGCCTTCAGGAGGGTATGGGGCATCTGACAGAAGCCATCTTTCCTCCCCATGTAGCTCCCCCCCCCCTGCAGTTCTGCTGGATGCTCAAACAGGTACCAGACCCCTCTCTTACAAATGCTGAGCCTTGGCTGCTGTATCTCTTTCTAAAATATCTTTTCAAGGTAGATGCTAATAGTTTGCATTTAACGTAGGATGGGTGGGAGTGATAGACCTGAACTTTTGAGGAGGTGGGCAGTAGCTTGTTTTGGGGAATGGACTGGCTTAATGGACAATGGGAAGTCTGTAGCCTTTGTTTGAGGGTCAGAAAGTAAGGGACCTGTTTGCTCTCTCCCCTCTACTGTCAGGTGCTTTTTTGTGGGGAGAAGAGAAGGTGGTGAAGGCCATACTGCTGACTTCATCCAGGATCCCTTGCATCCATCTGCTCAGACCTGTTGTGGGCCCAGGGGACCCTCATCTGACGTGGGGGCCAGCAGTCACATTCCATTATTGTTTTTACCGCTTCAAGCATATTTATTTTGTATTTATTTGAAGGCAAGAGTTGTTCTCCAAACTTATTTTTATAGATCTGTTTAAAATAATAGTTACTGTGTCCTTGGTATTTCTGTATTTTTGTAGAGGTTCTGTATTTATATTCTTTTAAAAAAATTATTTTGCACATTTTAAACATGGTCTGATGGAATCATCTGAGGAGGAGGAGGACACCCACCTGCTCACAAACTGCGGTGCCTGCCTTGATGGTTGACTGAGGAACTTGGTCAGTCCAGGGAGGATCCCTGGAAGGGGAAAAGGTGTAAGCGGTGACGGGTGCGGTGAGCCTTTGGAATCTGTAGGAAGCTCATTTTCACCAGAATGAGAGTCTGTACATTTCGAGGCTTGCCTTACTGTGGAATTGCCTCATCTTGTTAGTCGGGTGGACCACGAGCAGGATTTTAGAACCACGAGTGGGCTTTTATTTTATTTCCATTGCAATGGTTAAATAACGAGAAGGGCTGATTGGATGTGGGACAGCAGAAAAATGAAAAAAAAAATTGAAAAAAAAACCACTCAGGGAGATAAAAATCACAAGATGCCAGTTTTCCTGACATTGGGAAAGAAATTTGCACTTGGAGCTGAGTTGTTGCAGTTTTCTGTGTGTGAGGAGATGTCCTTGCCCGGTGGGCCGGATGCATGAGAATGAGCTGTGGAGAAGACGTTGCCTTGAAAAACTGCAGCTGCCCTTCCGAGATTTGGATGGTCTCTCTCTCTCCTGCGGTTTCTCCTTCCTCCCCACTGGGCACTGCCTGACGCTGGGGCCATCCCCTGCTGCTTGAGAAAGGACTGCATGCTTGTCTTGAGTTCATAACTGGGTCAGTGATGCAACCCCCCTCGCCGTCCCTTTCATTGAGTCTCACTGTACAGTCGGGCAGCGGCACCTCTTTTCTTACCATTTGTGGCCTGAAGAAGGTATTTGGAAGAGACACAAATCAATGCAGAATTAACTGTCTTTGTAGCTGTAAAATGGATTTATAAAGAGTGACTCTAGCAAAGCAAGACACACCCTTGATGGTAGGGAACAGTTTGCTAATAAAGATTTCATGTCAATATTTCTTGAGTTGGTTTGTTCTTTTTTTTTTTAATTTGTGGAGTATTTTAAATGTGCTGTTGGTGTGTTCCCCACGAAATGTCACTTTGTGTTCCTTCAAATCAGTGCAAAATAAAAGTTCCAGTCATCAAGGAACTAGCAAAAGAGGAACTGATCTTTGAAGGTGGTAAAATGGGACTTGAATGCCTTCTGGAGGTGGAAACATTGTCCAGTCCTGCACGTTGATCCTGGAGATTAGCACTCGCACCCAAATAAGTCTCCTGAGCAGAGCCATAGACCTCAGGAAGGAATGATGAACGACAAACTTGTCAGTGGATGAGGAAGCTGGAGGGTAGGCAAGCCCCTCAGAAGTTGGTCAAGTGTTCATAAGTCATCTAGGAATTAAAGCAGTCGAATGGCAGCTAGAGAACAACTTAGCTGCCCTCTAGCTGTTATTGGACTACAATGCCTATCAGACTTCACCCGTGACTTTTCTGGGTGAGGGTGGTTGGAGTTGTCACCTGGCAGCATCTGAGGGGCCTCAAGCTACCCAGGAGGGTTTTTCTGATATACTGGGATGAGTTTTACCCACACATGCAGGATAGAAAATAGTAGAATTCAGACAGAAAAAGAAAAAAAATTGGGGGAGCACTGAGAAGCAGCATCCATTTTCCTGCCGTGGTGCTGTTAGTTTCTGCACCCCATGCCCGTTTCCTGTCTAGCAGCGTTCTTTAAGATGGAAAGATGTTTAAAAAACAACAATGTAAAATGGGATTTGAGACGGCACATCCTGTGGTTCTGTGTCTTGTCAGCTCCATGCTATGGTAAGTGTCAAAAGGGGAAACCGTTTGTATTCTGGATTTATGGCAAGATGCTAAGATTTTTCCTCTTTGAAGGGATAAATGATAAAAGAAATGAATATCAGTCAGGAAGTTTCTTTTAAACATGTAGAAGGCTTGAATACTGTACTTCAATCATATAACTAGGGATAGATTGTTACAGCTGGTCATTCAAATAAAGTGCAAAAAAATTATTTCTCCGCCTTAAAACACACTCTTTTAGAGAAATAGATAAGTATCCCACTTCTGTTCAAATCTGCTGCCGCCACCTTCAGAAGGACTGGGTGTTTTAAATACTGTAACATGACTGAGAATAAACCAAAACAGTTGAAAACGGAAGAAGACACATGTATTTTCATTCTTTTTAATAATAATGCTTGCTTATTAAAGCTTTGGACCCCTGAGAGTCATCTATATAGTGACTGGCAGCAAACAAACCAAGGGGGCTGAAAAAATATTTAGGTTGTAACCCCAACATATTTTGTGAATTTCGTTGTATGGGTTTACTGTGTATATACTTACAATGACAATAAATTATTATTATTTCTTAGAGGGTAAACCCCAATGGACACGGTGGGACCTTATGGTAGCCAAAGCTAGCCCTGTCATTGGCCAAAGTGTGGCAACCGGCTCAGGCAGCAAATTTTGGTGGGGAGGGCTGTTCTCCTAAATGCATATGCCACACAACTTGGCAGTGTACAAGCACTATGAGTAAATAATGTGTCCTGGGCTGGGTGAATTAAATTTGCTCCCTCAAAACTGTAGCCAGAAAGCTTGCCCTGGGTAAGGGGGCAAGCTTTACATTAAATCCTGAGTAATTTCAAAAATTAATTAAAATCTAATAAAAAAACCAGCTTTTGGGGGAAGGGGGTGGAAATAAGCAACACTACTTCCAACCCTGCCAGTATCAAAGCAACCTGGAGCTGCCAGTCCAGTCAGCTCTCTTATTTCCCCCCCCCCCAAGGAAGGAGAGCTGCCATCTTGGTTTTTCCCTCAGGCGGTAGAAGGCCAGCCTGAGCTTTTATGACCATCGGCTTCGTGGCCGAGAGCTTCCCTCATTGCATTTCTGTTTCAGCTTCATTAAGTGAGTGGGGTGTGTCAGCCTCGGTAGCTGACCCACAAGAGCTAGGAAAAAAAGAGAGAAAGGGATAGCTGCCCCATAGCCCCAAGGGTGGTAACTAGGTTGCCCAGCCAATATGGCTGCCCAGCCGTGCTTCCTCTTCACAGAGGCCAAGGGCGGCCTTGTAGTTTTTGTGCCGAAATGGCTGAATTTTGTAAAAATAATAATAATAAAATTGCACCTCTCCCCCAAATCCTGTTTCCCCCTCATGTGGGCACAGGGGGAAAAAATTTGGGGAACCAAACGGTGAGGGAGAAGGAAGCTTCCCCTCACCCTCGCATCCTCTCTGACCCTTAAAACCAGAAGGGTGCCATTTGCATTGTTGGGAAAAACGGCGCCCAGCATCCCCAGGGAAGCACGGGGCCGCCTGGAGGATTCTGGGGATTGTCATCCAAAACCCCACAACGGCACCCAGCATCCCCAGGGAAGCCCGCCTGGAGGATTCTGGGGATTGTTATCCAAAACCCCTGCAATTAAAAATAAACTGCCACGCTTGGTTGCGGTCGGGGGGGGGCAGGTATGCGCTGGAACAAAAAGGGCAGCTACAAGTTGTCCATTCCTTTTCCCCATTCCATCTCAATGACAACGCTGCTTTTTTTTATGGTCAGCTTCAGGCATTTTGTTTGTTTTTTGTTTTCAAAAACACAAGGCCGTCAAAAACAGACCAAAACATTGACTGGTGTTCTATATAACATATTTAGGTTTTTGGTTAAAATGCGCCTCAGTTGTATTCTTATTATTTACAACTGCACAGCCAAGTTGGAATTTCAACCACTGGGGATTTTTATCCTCCGACACACACGCCACAGCAGGTGGGGCCGGCCCTGTCGTGAGGCGGCGGCCACCTCAGACCGCCACGAAAGAGGAGCCACGCGGCCGTTTATGCCACGATTCACCCTTCTTTGACTGCTAGAGACATGGGGCGGGGTGCAGTAAGGTTTTTCTCACAGATTTCCTCACAGATTTTCATGCTTTTCAAAAGGTTTGATTTTTTCCCCCCAATTTTTTGCTTTGCCTTTTCCTCCATGGTCCAAACAAAGCCACAACGCGAGGCAATTGGCACGGGTGACGTTTACCTCACGCTGCCGCCTCAGCAATGAGACGGTCCTTATGAAGATGTACATACAACATTTTGGGAAAAGATTAAAGAAGAAAATACCTCACCATTTACAAACTCTCCTGACTCTGGAATATTTCTCCTGCCTTCTTTTTCCTCACAGATTTTAATGCTCTTTATACTCACCTCATGCTCAGTCGGCGTCATGGCTTCACTGCCATCTAACTCTACCTTATATTTGACCCCCCCCCCCAAAAGGGGCATATGGATGGGTCAGAGCTTGAAAAGTTACTTTTTCAATTCATCTTGAAAATTTAATTTATTTTGGTGTTTTCAAGCAAATATTTGGGTGTTGTCAGTGTGTTGTTGAAAGCCTATCCTGTTTTTTTTTGTCACCTAGAATGGGACTTTCCCCTCATGTTTTTATTTATTACTTCCATTCCTATTTACTTTTAACTGTTTTTAAGTCCAGCTGTTTCAGTCGGATATGCCCTTGAATTGTATAGTAATATGACTGTTATTTTTCTTTAGATTCCTCCTGAATTCTGTTGCTTCAAGAGAATTGGGATATTTATTTATCTGTTTAAAATATTATTACTCCGCCTTCTTCAAAAGGGGCCCAAGATGACTAACATCATTCAAAGACAACATTTAAAAGCCAAGACAATATTTTAAAGGATACAACTTTTAATTGTAATATTATCATGTTTATTTTAGTTGTCTCTTTTTAAAACATGTTGGGAGGCACCTGAGCTCCCACGTTATTAAAGAACAAATGAACATTTCTTCCCAAACAACAAATGTCAGGACTGTTTTGTTTTGAGGAATTGCTCTTTTGAATATTTCAGTAGCCATTTTTTGAGGAATCAAACGTGCAACAGCAAGAGCGTGGTGATTCCTCGAAAATTGGATATTGAAATATTCAGTCTTCTCAAATACCTTAAGAGTAAAATTACTCTTGAGCAGTCTTTGCAAACAAATGTATTGGAAAAATGGTAATTTTAAAAATATGTATTTTTAAACTCTAAAACTTGACATATTGTGTGACCTATGGGCTACTAAACTTAAATGGACTTGAAAAATCAGATTGTATTCAAAATGCCTCTAAAACGCTTTCAAATGTATCTAGGAAAAAGTAACTAGGAAAGACCCCACATGAAGATATTGTGTAATAATTGAATCTCTAATGTTACTTTTGGTGAGTAATTTTCTTACACTTCATGGCAAAACCAAAACAAAATAAATAACAAAGGCCCAACATTAAAGCCCTTGTTGCAGGTAAACAAATTACTTGTACAGTAACTCCTTACTTCCAGGCTCTGAGCGTGATGCTAAATACATCACAAAATTACACCTGAATCTTAATATCTCAGCCACAATGCAGGTTGTGTGTAGGAGAACATTACATTTGGGTGTAGGAGAAATTGGTTTCCCACATCAAAAATCCCTATATCGTTTTATTTAGTAATCATATTTTCCACTTAACAATAAAATTAATAAATACCGTGTTTCCCCAAAAATAAGACAGGGCCTTATATTAATTTTTGCTCCAAAAATGCATTAGGGTTTATTTTCAGAGGATGCTTTATTTTTTTCTTGTACAACCATCTACATTTATTCAAATACAGTCATGTCATCTTCTTCTGGTTGCTGCACAATGTTGGAGAGCGGGATTTCACTTAACTGGGGCTTATTTTGGGGGTAGGTCTTATATTATGAGCACCCTGAAAAATCATACTAGGGCTTATTTTCAGGTTAGGTCTTATTTTCGGGGAAACAGGGTATGATTAATATTTGATTGATAATGACAGGCTCACCTCTCGTTTAAGGATGTGCTTCTTGCATGGGGATAGATGACGACAAGTGGAATCCAGGAAGTCTTTTATGAAAAAGGTGAGATTTGTTTACTGTTGTCATACTGCAACAGAATACAATAAATAGCAATATTTACTTATTTTGGTATTGATCTCCTGTCTTTTTGGTAAGGTGCTCAAGAAATGTAATATCACTGTATTGCCCTGGCTTACGTAAATCATTGCTGGACTGGATTTAAATAAAAGGTAAGTCTCTGGATCTTGTAGCAGTACCACTGTATTGCCCTGGCTTAAATCATTGCTGGACTGGATTCAAATAAAAGGTAAGTCTCTGGATCTTGTAGAAGGTGAGATATAAAGCAAATCGTGTAGGCTCTGCAGATATGAGCAGCTCATGCACCCACATATTGCAGAATATGCGGATTTAATCCACCAGGATTTGAGGTGCTGGAACATGAAAACTTCTATAAATGGCTCTTCCTCCTACCATTGTGCATGTTCTCAACAACCCTGCATGGTAGGTTAGGCTGAGAGGGAGTGATCGGCCGATGGTTGCAGAGCGAGTTACATGGCCATTTGAATTTCCAGTTCTCTTCAGTCTTAGCAAAACACCCTCAAGGGAAGTGCTTCCCAAGCTTGAATCTCCAGATGTTCGTGAACCACAACTCCCAGAAATCTTGGCCACCACAGCTAGTGGTGAAGGCTTCTGGGAGTTTTAGTCCAAGAACTCCTGAGAATCCAAGGTTGGGATCCATTGCTCTATGGATTTTTGGACTACAATTTCCATCATCCATAGCTAGCATAGCCGATGGTAAAGAGGATGCTGGGAGCTGCAGTCTAACCGCCTCTAGTAGGGGAGAATATGTCCACTCATACTTTATCCACTATGCCACGCTGTCTTTTGATATTAATGGTAGTATATGATATACTGTACATTATCCTAGGATTTTTCCCTCTTTCAAAGGCACATATACATATTGTCCAGGAGAGGGAGTCCCTCACGTAGATTTGATACACTGCTGCAAAGATCCTTCCAAAGAATATATAGAAAAGGAAATTGAAGTGACTTTTTTGGCTAAAGCAGTCAGGAAACGTTTTGCTATAAGAATGAAAAGCCAGTACAGTGGGGTCTTGACTTAAGAACGGCTCGAGTTAAGAACATTTTGACTTAAGAACCACTCTCATAGGAAAATATTGACTTGACTTACATACTTAGATTTGAGTTAAGAACTGAAAAAAACCCACGTGGGAGGCAGGGAAAGTGCAAAATTTGAACTTTCAGTTAACTGTTGGCCAGTGAAAAGGGTGCCTGTCTGCTTCCTCACTCCTCCCAGCGTTTAGAGAGTGGATTGGGAGACAGTCTTCAGACTGCCTGGTACTGTACTGCCTGGACTGTATTTTCCCTGCCTTCCCTGAACCTTTCTTGACCTAAGAAAAAAAGAAACAAAATATCCCCCTCTAGTGGTCGAAGGCGGAATAGCAGCTTCCCATTAGTTTCTATGGACGGAAAAGAGCAGATACGGATCAAATGGTTTTCAATGCATTCCTATGGGAAATGCAGATTTGACCTGAGAACTTTTTGACTTGAGAACCGCCTTCCAATACAGATTAAGTTCTCAAGTCAAGACCCCACTGTATTGCCTTATAGCTCTCCAGTGTTGGAAGTTGAGCCTTTAAAGTTTCTGCCTCTGCAGAGTACAGTGGCCAGAGATTGAGTATCTCCTATATTGGCAGGCTTTTAAGGGGCAGTATTGCCTTATAGGTCTCCAGTGTTGGAAGCTGAGCCTTTAAAGTTTCTGCCTCTGCAGAGTACAGTGGCCAGAGATTGAGTATCTCCTATTGGCAGGGTTTTAAGTCTTACCCAGTCTGATTTTGTGTTATTTTCTTCAAACTACCCTGGTGCAGTTTCGATAATTTTAGGCTGAATAAAATGCCCTAATTGCAGAAATGGTTCTTTTTAGATAGGAATAGGAATTTCTTCCCCACTCACTTTTGAATGTGGTGAGCCAGGCTTGGGTGTCTTCGGGGTCCCTCTTGCTCATTCTGCTGAGTTTGGGGCCCTTGATTTCTTCCCTAAAGTTCTGCCATGATGGCACAACAAGTAAGAAGTATATGCTGAGCACAAGAAGAGAAGGAACATAGATTAGTGGTGGTTGCAAATTAATTAGTCAGTCAGTCACACATTTAATCCCTTCCAACCATTTCCATTCTATTTTCTCTCCTCTTGGTTGCACATGGGTTTGGCAGGCAAATCAATTAGTCAGTCACACATTTAATCCCTGCTGGTTGCTGTTGAAAGAAGAAGGAAAGGGGACTGCACACCCTAACTGCCCTTCCAAAATGGGGTCTGCAACCTTTTTTTTTTTGCTGTGTCAGCTGATCATATTTTCTTCCAACCATTTCCATTCTATTTTCTCTCTGTTTTTCTCTGAGGAGTATTCTGTACACAGAGAACATGTCTGGCCTTCTTTAGATTTCTTTGGTTGCCCCTTCTGTGAGCATCCTCCCCTTTTAAAGTGTGTGTGTATTTTTGGGGAGTGGGTGTAGTTCTGCAAATATTTGGTTCTCGTGAAAGCTTGCTCATAACCACCCTTTTTGGTGAAGGGAGTGGCATTTTGACTACATTTTGCTCCTGTACATATAGCTTTTCATACACACACAGTTTCATGCAAATTGGTTCCTTTTGGGGACTCCCCCTCCTCAATAGCAGCTCTTTTTTTAAGCTGATGTGTAACTACCCACCCTAAGTGTGTCCAAAATGGCAACATCTGCACTCAAGAAGGCCAGATGTGCAAACTTGGGGAACATGTCAATGTTCCCAAAAGCACTTGTTTGCTGCAGAGGGTCTAAAAGCGGAAGGGATGAAGGAAAGAAATGGAGAGCATCCTCAAAGAGGACATGGCAAATTGTCGAACTGGAACCGTGCAAAGGAACATTCTAACCTGCATTATTTTATTATAGGTCACATTGTATTCTTAGAATGAAGAATTATTTTTCTTTCTTAGAACGGCTCACATTTCACATTCCTGGGGTAGCAGTTTATAGTGAGTGTGTTTTGATAGTTTCAGATACATATCTGAATAGCAAGGGCTAGAAGCTTGACGCTTTAAAAACACCATGGCCCATATTTTGAGGATGATGCCAGATCCAGTGCCATTTTGTATGCACCAGAATTTTACAGAAGATGAACTGTTTCGCTGGTTACTGGTCTGCAGAGTATTAGAGGAGCTTGTGTGCAAATATTTGGCTCGGAAGAGCCGAGATTTCCCTCAGGTGAACTTCTTATGAAAGAACTCCAGTGTGTTTTGAAGCGGAGGCAGGGGAAGAGTGCTCGGCACCAGTGTTTTGGCCAAAGTCTGAAGATCCCACGTAAGAGACTGGAGAAGGCAACAGAAAAACCTCAGTTGAATTCAGAAACACATGGAGGACCTGAAGTTGACTTTCTGAATAGCAGGCAGTATCTGTTTACGAGCTTTGTAAAGGGAGCATCTTAAATGCTGTCCATCAAAGGGAACCAAACATATGAAGCCCCTGAACGCTGAATGCTAACCTGGTTTTACATTTTTTATTTCAGATTACAGTGTTTTGGCAATCAAATGTAAACATCTAGGTTGGCCACTCCCTAAAGGTAGACCTTTGGTCTAGATGGGCGGGGTAGAAATCCAATAAAATAAATAAACAAATAAAAAAATAAATAAAGGGCTATCTCACAATCACATCTATAGTGAGTTGCTTTTCTTCTTCTGCCTAGTTAGCAAGCAGCCCTTTCTAAGAAAGAAAGCATTCTTTATTTGATGGGGCAATCCAATGTGAACCTAGTTCATTGCTAAAGGTCTCCTCATCTACAGTAGAAGTGCTGGAATGGCAGATTCATGATGCCCCTGGTCATAGTCATCCCCAGTCTATGGTGAAATATACTGGCCAAAATCCTGTTCGGGATTCATGCTGGCATAAGTACAATTCAACAAATCACAGCGGTGAATTGCTGCTAATTGTTTGCCACTCACATTCTTGGTTGCAGGAGAGTCATGCAACTTAGCACATGACCAACAATACAAATTGCACCTTGTTAATGAGCAGCAATTTGCTCCTGTCATTTATACCATTATTCTTGCAGCAGCATAAATCCCAACAGGATTCTGGCCAATGCATATCTATGTAAACTGCAGTCATTCTTCCTAAATGTGCATCATTATATATGCACCAATGCATGTTTTATGCAAATCAGCATCTTCTTTTCGAGTGGTGTGTGGCCTCTTTTTCTTGCAATGTATTGGAGGGTACCTTTGCTACTGCACACAGGCAGGGAAATTTTTGCTGCCGAAGCAAATCCCTCCCTCTCAAAGTGCATACCCCAAATTTTCAAGCTCTAGCTCTCAGGATTAATAGTCAGAAGCATTGCATCTGCATCCAGCATTTATACTGAAGACCTTTTAAGTTAAAGTATAGTTGATCTGTGTTTAGAGTCTGTAGCCTTCCTTGAAGAGCAAAAGATAAGACTTCCAGTATCAAGCAAAGGCCATATAGCCTGGTATCCTATGCTGGAATCCCATCAATTAGCTGCTTCAAGATGGTCCCCTAGAAATTGGCCAGTGGTCTACCTCTAGACAGAAGTTGCATCTTTGGGCTAATCCTATTGTACCATACTTGGAATATTATTTTTGCATATTGTCTATATATTGCTTACAGAGTAATGAGAATTCATCTCTTGCTTTAATTTAAAGTTTTGCAACACCACTTCTTTAGATTTTTCTGGTTGAACATTCACTGGGGGAGGAGAGAAAGAGACCTTTTCACTGTCACTAGATGATTTGATCCAATTTCCTCCTGTCTGTTTCCCCCACTCAAATCTCTAAAAACTTCCTCCAGGACTTCAGAGTGCCTTCTGCTTACTGCCATCCTTATGTCCTTTGTAGACTTCATTCTGCTCCCCAGTGCTTAGGAATTCTCCTAGACATGACTACCACCACTAGGAGAACATTTTCTGTTTATGAATAAAATAATATGGTGACATAATTTCCTCTTCTTTCTTTCTCTCTCTCTCTTTAACTTCGTCCCTTTCTACAGATTGTGTTATTTATTAGCTGTGACGTCAATGTTCAATAACCAGCCCAGCAAGAAAGGAACCCAAGGCTTTTCGAATTACAACTCCTTCTGACAGTTACAGATTCTCTGCAGCTATTAATCATCTCACAGATGGTTTAAAGCCACCAGTGTCTTAAAATTAAAGTAAAACAAGCAGAACATTGCAAGAACAAAATTCTGGGACTCGGGTGAGTTATAGTCCAAAAACAAAAACAAAACAAAACCCTATCCGTCATGCTTGCCTGGTGCGGGGGGCGTCTGATGGCAGCATCATGATTTGATTCATACTGGTGATTTCAAGTTCCATGACTGTCAGTACCTTTTGCTAGTAACTTCGCTGCTTGCCAGTTAGCACACCATAGTAACAGAATAGAAGTTGATTATATGTTACATATTTTTAAAGCATGCAACTGAACACAAAATGTGGAGGTGGGGGCAACTGTGTAGATGGGAGGAGTATTGCAGCTTGAAAGCTACTAGATGTTCAGCTAGAAACCTTGAAGAACCGTGATTTCTCCCATACAGGCGATCTCTTCACCGATGCAAATAGCAGCCATTAATTAGCATTAGGTTCAGAGCTGCTGTGGCCCATCTGTCCTGGGGTGGCCAATATTTTGGGGATGAGCCTCTCCACAATTAACTAGGCTTGTCCTTGGGAAGCAGAAGTACCCCACTGGTGTCCTATGTAAAGTTTTCCCACTTGGGTATAACCTGTCGGGACTTGTTCTCTGCTAGTATAAAATCTGAGAGCCCGGGGTTCCTTTCACACAAGGATAGGATTTTTTTGGAGAGAAGTTGGCACTCTCTGTGAACCACCCAGACAGAGCACTGATCAGATAGGTGGTAATTGGAGGGAGGGAGGGATGAAAAAGCCAGACATGTGTATGTTACACATCACAGGCAGGGCGCCACAGTGGAGGTCAGGTGAGTGGTGCTCTGAGCATGTGGAAACTTCTTCAGGAACTTCAAAAACATTCAAGGGCTCTCATCGTCCTCTTTATTCTTCCCTTTGAGAAGCAACGAAGTCAAACTACTAAAAATAATTCTCCCTGTTATTTCCATCTATCGACAGATTTCATGAAAAAATATAGAACTGCGGAATGTACTAGGAACAGAACTGCTTCTCTTTGGTGCTGTCAGTGGCCGCATGGAAACAATCAATCAATTAAAAAACACACAATCAATCATACCCCCCCCCATATATCTCTCTGTGGGCCTGCTGAGTCATAATCGGTTCCTTGAGGCTCCTGCATTGTCTCCATTCGGGATGGTTGTGATTTCCATAGAGAAAATTGAGCCCAGAAAGAGAGGCCAGTTGCTCTCTTATGCTCAGATGAGACAAAGGTATGTGTCGGAAGGGACAGGTTCTAGGGAGCTACTATGTAGAGCTGTCCCAAAATGTTTTGCTGCCTGAGGTGGTGCAATAGATGGTTTACTCCACCTACCGCATGCCAGGAGACCTTGTATTGAAAGCCAGCCAAATGTAAAGAGGAGGCTTGCAATAATAAGAACGATTTGCCAGGGGAACAGACTGCCTGAAGAAGTGGCGAACTCTGCATTGCTAGAAGTGTTTAGGCAGAACCTGAATTGCTCTGTGTGTCAGGGAACGCTCGTATAGTGTCATCTTGCACCGGATTGGACATGCGTGATCTCTCAAACGCTTTCCAAACTTCATATAATTTCTACAATGTTATGATTCTAATGCTAAAGTGAATGCATGGGATCCTCCATGAAGGACACCACCTGATTTGATGGAGAAAAGATCCGTATGTTTTAAGGCAGAGATCTCCTGGGGAAAATAGAACCCTCTTTGGTATGAACAGAGCTTGGAACACTATTACAGATGGGTTCTGGTGTCAGGGGAATAATTGTTCAAGTTCTGGGTGAGCTGTGTGATCAGCTTTCCAGCCCAGTTAGTCCATGTGCTAACTGTTGATGGGTAACTCTAAGACCTCTACTCTTCCTTCTAAGAGTATTTTTTTAAAAAACTGTGTTTGGAGTAGACCCGACAGCCACCTCAAGGCAGGCGATCTTAAAATAGAGAGAATCATCCTCTGACAGCCCTTCAAACACAGGACTATTCTTCTTAAAGTAGGGCACACGGACACACCTTGGCTGTCACCCCCCTGGCAAAGATGGGCTGTGGCACTCTGCGTTGTTTGCCGAGATAATATCGAGCTTGGCTCAGCAAGCTGGGCTCAAGGGGCCGTTGGTCTGACTTAGCAAATTCTTATTTTAGTTGCCCAGAACTGGGCAGCCTTCCTTGGCCCTCCTTCCAAGGTCAACAGGCATTTGTGAGCTGGCATTTGTGAGAGGCACCGTTCGCCTCCCTCCCCACCCCAAACTCGGCCCAAACAAACCTGCTAAGGTGGGGTGAGAGTAGGGAAGCGAATCCGAGAGCAAGTCTTCTTCTTTTCCTTTCAAAAGAGTTCCCTGTCCTTGTTCCAAAGAATCACCTCTGTAATTGTTCCTTTAGCTTCGGGGATGGGTGGGGAGGAGAGAAAGAAAAGAGATCTTGTCATATGTTGGCCTCCGGCTTGCAAAGAACTTCCAGGGAGCGGTGACCTGCCGCAAAGCCCTCTGAATAGAGAAAGGGAAGGGAAACCTGTTTTATTTTGTTTTTTGGAACACTGGATGAGAATCATTCAGAAGCGACTCTCTTCCTAGTGACTCTTTTGGGGTCTGATTTAAAAAGAAAGACGTGCAAGGAAGAGAGATCAAGGATCTTGAAGGTATCCATCATCTCCATTGAACAGCACCTGAACAGCAGACTCGGCAGGGCCATGGGGCCACCCCGGTTGCAGCCTTTCCCACTTGAGCGAGAGGCGCTGTGATTCTGTTGAAATTATAAAAACAATTTCTAAATTTGCCTCTGCTCCTACAGTACAAATTTGTGTGTGCCGTCGGATGCCCTCCAGTGTCTTCTTTCATTCTTCTTTTTGAGGAGGTGCAAGTGGTTACGGGGCTTGTCCCCATGACTCTCACCTCTTGAATCCACTACTTTGCTTCCATCCCCCCCCTCCCAGTTCAGAGGCTGGCTTTGAGAAGAACAGGACCTGCCTTGTCCGGGATGCCCCTTTCAACCAACCCTGAGCACCGAGAGGGCAACCAGTTATCATGGACCTGTGAGATCTTTCAGACCCTCGCCATTCTGGGCCATCTGTCACTGCTGGGTTTGGTGGGAAAGTGTCAGCCAAATTTAGGTGGAATCCTATTACCCCAGGGTTGGCTGGGACCTAAGATTTCCGTATCCACAAGCAGCAGTGGGTGGTAGCCACCTCAGAGGTCCCCACGCAGAAGAGGAAGGTGTAGGAGACAGGTAGGGAGGAACAACACAACTACAGATAAGACTCCCCCCTCCCACCACACAAAAATCACTTCGCAGGGCCCTGCTACCCTCGCTGTTCTGTTTCACATCCCTGACCTATGTATACAGATACCTTTCCCCTCCAGGAAAGAAAACAGTGTTACTGATAAGCAGAGACCTTATCTCAACCTTCCCTACAGCGGCTCCCCAAGGACTGATGTCTTTTTTACAGGAATGTTTATTCAAAACTGGGTCTTGTTTCTGTTCATCCGGGAATGGAGTTAGAAGCAGAGTTATGGAGAAGGTGCATTTCTGGATGACAGTTCCCCAAAATCCATCCTCCCCCCACGGGAGTCTGCAGGACCACTGCAGATTCCTGGTGTTGCCAAAAATAAAATTAGAAGCTATGAATTGGCAGGAGTGGATAAAGCCCTGTAGCTAGCCTAGCTAGCTCATTTTCCTGATCGACACACTAGTTAGCCCATTGACTACAGGAAAACCCATCGGTAAGACACTGAATGCAACTGCAGCCTCTGACTTGCATTCTCCGCCAGCAGCTGATACAAAGGGTCATCCTGCCTTTGACATGAGAGGTGACTTCTAGCCACGAGAGAACCCGGTCCATGGGAAAGAATGAGGTGATCGGCTCTCCTTCTCCAGAGGATATCTGAGAAGAAGATGGACTGCCATCAGTCAGAAAAGCAGGAGCAGCAAGGTACCGTACCTGCTTTGAGGAGGGGTGGAGGCTGGACTGGACTGGATCTGTGTTTCTCAACTTTCAGCAGAAGACACCCTGCTGAGGGTGCTTTGAGCAGAATGCTTTTGGGGCTGCCTGACTGGCGTTCAAGGTTTGGCTTCTGTGACGTACGCCGGCCGTTGGGTGCAAGGGCCACCTTGTCATTCAGTGACTGAGGTTGTCCTTTGCGGAACGGATTGGCAAATGAAATTAAAAAGTCAGGGACCTGGGAACTCTAAAGTCCAAAACATCTGGAAGACCAAAGACTAAGAGATAACTATTGGTTCAGATGATCTCAATTGTCTCTACACATCTGTGACAAAAACAGAGCAGTAATGAGTATTTTTGCTAGTGCTTCAGATGGCTTGTCCTCTCTGGATCAGGACCTTTTAGCTATGCATTCCATCGCCCTGTCTTCTGCCAACCTTTTTTTCCCTATTTTATGAATAGAGGACTTCATCCATCCAAAGGCAGAAAGACAACATCAGCTCTCACATACTCCATTGCCACAAGGTCTTCAGTAACACCCCCCCTCTTTTTTTTTTTGCTGTTTTGGGTGGTGGCGCAAGAAGTAAATATGTGAATTTTCAAACGTTTTTCTGTGTGGAGATTCTGTTTGGATTTGAACAGGAAGTCGTGGAGAGAAGGCGTATAGGTAGAAAATATTAATGAAGGGGTTTTCATTCTGTTATAAAGGGCTTCATTCAAAGGATTCAAAGGAGGGAGAGAGAGAGAGAAAAAAATATGGCTCTTATGGGACCCAGAGTTTATCTGCCAAGCCCAAAGATCTGGTATGAATTTCAAATGCACATATATTTCAAGGGTCTCCGTAAGAAGGAGAAGCTGAGGTGGCAAAAAGGGTTTTGAGCTTAAAACACTTCTGAGATGGAAAGGACCTGTGAAGTTCATCCTCCGTTGTATTTTGCTTTCTTCTGGACAAATGCCTTCAAGGCAAACGTGCCACCGGGATGGCTTCAGCTTTAAGGAGGTCATGGGAAACTTATCTTCCATCGGACCCCTTCCAAGAACAGGCCCTGGCAGATGATGGGCAGGTCTGCAACATTTTAATCCTCTCCATTCAGTGACTACAGTTCCCATCAGCCACGTGGCGAATAGTGATGAATGGTGGAAGTTGTAGACCTACCCAATACTGAATGCCATAAACTCCCAAGCCTTCATTTTTAAAATCATCCATGATGTGTTTCAGACTAAGCCAGAAGACCTGGACCAGGTTTTGGTATATTGACTGCTTTTCAGGTGTTGTTAATGGTCCTGGCCAACTCTAAGTTCTGTGATACTTATCTTTCTTTTGAGCTGTTTAGCTTAAAATTAGTTTTTCGCTCTTCAGACATGGCACTGAGAAGAGTGGCCTCCCCATGCCTAAAATCAGGCCGTTCCTTTCCGGTTACTAATTAACAGCAGAAAGCTTTCCCCAGGGAAGACTTAACTGGGCTCCAATTTTCCTATATTTTAGGAAGTGTATTAAAAATTTCCCATTCTGCCAGGGATTTCCAAAGCTGATGAACCATGTTATTATTCTCTGTTGTGTTACATTGGTTGTGTTTTGAAGTGTGGAGGGACTTTTGAATGCCAGCCAGGACTAGTTTTGTTCCAGAAGGCCTTTGAAGGTATGGCTGAAATCAAAATTTTTTGTTGCTTCTGTTTTGTAGTAGGGGTTTAACTCTGGCTTTATCTTTGATGGATTGCTGGGAGCACAGGAAACTGCTTCATGCTGGGTTGTATGATGGATCCCTCTTGGTCAGTATGGCTGACAAAAGTAGCCCGCCATTCCACGGGGTTTTTGCTAGCCCAAAGTGGTGACTGAAACTGGCACCTTCTAAATTCAAAGCACATACCTTGCACTAAGTTACAACTCCTCCCTTTTTAAAAACGCTGTTTTTAGAACATGTTTCCGTCTTCTTCTTTTTTTAAATCTGTTGCCATGAGAACTTGTTGGACAATTCCATTGTCTATATATTTTGTGTGTGAAGAAACGTTGTCATGATGAGGATGGTGTCAAAGCCAGCCTCAAGCAAGGATGGGCTGAACTGCTTTTATATCACAGAAGGGTCAAGGCGAGCAAGACATACTGTTTCTCAATGCCATTAAAGCAGTGGTCCTCAACCTTGGGCCTCCAGAGGTTCTGGAACTTCAACTACCAGAAATCCTGGCCAGCAGAGGTGGTGGTGAAGGCTTCTGGGAGTTGTAGTCCAAGAACATCTGGAGGCCCAAGTCCTTACTGTATTTTTGCACCCTAAAGTCTAGCAACA